ATTAATGCAGGTGAAACTTATAAAAGATGTTCAAGGGAACCTAATTACCAAAGGGGATAAGCAAAACAGTGGGCTGATCACTTCAGAGGACTCCTCAACTGATCATCACCTGCGAGTCGTCCAGAAAACCTACAAACGGCAGGCAAAGAACTACCAGAGACCCCAATCCTCCAGCAAAAGCAGAAATCTTGAATGCGATCAAGCTACTGAAATCCGGGAAGGCAGGATGGCAAGACGGAATTTCTCCGGAAATTGAGCCACAGACCGCAGCGGATATGCCCATGCCACTATTGTGAGAAGTTTGGAATGAAGGAAAGGCACCGCAGTGATTGGAGGAAAAGCTACCTCATCGAACTACTGAAGATGGGCTACTTAAGTAACTGCAAGGACTGCCGTAGAATAATGCTCTTGTCCACGCCAAATAAAATGCTAATTAGCGTTATCCTGGAGAGAATAAGGGATGCAATGGATGCAGAAGTCCGCTCCTAATAAAATCTTACTGCCGTCCATGGACCACCGCAAGGTAAGTGGCAATGTACAGTTTTCAGGGCCAATCTTGTCTAATGCCTCCCCCGCCCAGAGAAAAGAGGTACCATAGCTAGTTTTCTGGTCATTTGAGGCAAACGCCTTACTAGTGTTACACCCCTATTCGCCAGCAGTACGATTTCGTCCCCCCAACATAGTATATACGACTCACAGCATGACTGTCACTGATTTCAGTCTAACGGACCTTCATGACATGGTAGGACATACAGCACCGTTAGTTCCAGCCAATGCATTGAGATATGCATGAAGGTAGCAGCTAAAGGTCGAGGATCTTATGTAGTTGTACTGCATAAATATGAATAGAAAACTAAGAAACTAACTATCGCTTCTTTTTGTCACATAGTACTCGCGAACTTGCCCACCTGAATCACCTCTGCTGTAGACATGACATGCGGCTATTGAGCAAAGAATGTGTGTACTGTTCAGCAGTTCGCTTTGTCTTCGTTTATGGCTGAGAGACATGACCATTGGTAGTGAAAGATATGAAAAGGCCAGCTAGCTTTCCTTCATCACAGGTGTCTGTGTCCTATCTGCTATATTGGTTTACTAAACCAACCAGCTCAGAGAACACTATTAATTGAAAATCATCCACCTGAGCTACAAATCTTCTCTATTATTTCAGGGCGAGTATTATTGAGGTTAGGCGTAGAATGCTAGGTAAGGAGTGTAGGTAACTCACCAAGGTTATGAAGCTTCACCGATTGATATGACTAGGACACATGTTACGTATACCAACCCTATCACATTCCTCGACGGACGATGTTAGCCGACAAGGGAATAATTTGGAAAAGAGTTATGGATGGTGAAATAAAAACCTGAGATCAGTCTATAAAGACCCTGACAGTTGGTTTGGGTCAGTTATAGAGGTGTAGGCTGTTTAGTTGGGGTCCTCAAGATAATAAGAACCAATAGCTGGAGACGATTACTGATATAACTCAAAATCGTTCTCAGTAGTACAGATGCATTCACTTTTTTTCCATGTGACTATTCTTTCTCCCTTACTGTTGCACTTCTGTGCAAAGTCCTGCACATTGGAACTTAATCAATGTATAGGGGAATGTGAATGTATGTAGAAGACAATGCATATTATAAGAAATAATAGAGAAGATTTGTAGCTCAGGTGGATGATTTGCAATTAGTATTTAAAATCGAGTCACAACACCAACAAGAAACAATCATCAAAGACTACACGAAAATTCATCCTCCCATATTATAAAAAATATCTCTGAAATAACAACTAGAATATTGAAACCGTTTAAAATAGATATAGCACAAAAGCTAGCCAGCCAGTCCAATCACTTCTTTCGATACTGTGCAAACCAAAATATCCAACAGAAAAAGAAGATAAAATTAATACCATTTACAAAGTAATCTGTATGGACTGTAACAGACATTATATCGGTCAAACTGGGCGTCCCCTGCGAATCAGAATCCAGGAGCACAAATTAGCTGTGAAAAGACATAATATACGTTCTTTCATACTAATGCATGTAAATAATTATGGACACCAATTTGATTGGGATAATGTCGAAATTTTAAACAGAGGAAACACCAGAGAATTCTTACAAGTCTGGTACTCAAGTGAATCAGCGATTAACAAACACGTTAATACAGACCAAATCTACCAACTAGTAAAAAGTAAATCATGTGAGGAGGAAGTTTCAAATCCAAGTCAATAAAAAATTATCAATGCAGATGTAAATCGACTACCAGTCAACAGGATGGTTCTGTCTGCCTGGATTCAACATAGAACTTAGCACCGAAGTGCAGCAGTTCGAATTGCCACGTTCTAAATAGCACACAAAGGTAGACAAGAAGATGAGGGAAGAGAATCAATAGAGTTTTGACAAGTATAAGAGTGAAACAGAATGAGTAATGGTAGGAAGGAATATGAAAGATTACACAAGAGACTGAATACATTTGCGTAAGCCATTGACAACGATTTTGAGCCATGTCACCTATTGTCTCCAGCCATTGATTCTCAGAGTCCCGAGGGCCCCAACCTGACTCAGTTTAACTATCAAGGATTTCAAAGATTCATGCCATGTTTTTGTTTGGGCACCACTTACTCTTTTCCAACCTGCACCTATATCAGCTAGTAATGCCCGTCGCGGTGGGGGAGGCGATGGTTAGACATGCGCAGCACGTGACCTAGTCATCTCAATCTATGTAACTTTATAGCCTCTTCGATTGGTTTTCCCTCTTTGCCCAACACTTTAAAGAGGAGGATGGTTACCACGAGACGCAAGTGTATCACTATTATATATATACAACTGTAGAACTTGATGATGAAGTTATCGAAAAGAATATTCTTTGTTCAGTAACCATTCTTTTGAGAATCAGTCCATTTTATGCTAAAACTTGCGCTGAAGATGCTGTCCAGACGGACGACGAAAGCTTCGCAGTTAAACCAACCAGCTCAGAGAACACAACTAATTGCATATTATACGAATAATTGGAAATATGTACATATACATCTTCATATCTATTCATAATGCGCGCATATTCACCAAATATATACAAACAAAAGAAAAAACAGTAATGTAGCATATTATGTATATAATATATATAATATTATTTTGTAAAAAAAATGACAACGAAGGAATGAAATGCATAAGTAGTAGTAGTAGTAAGTAAATGACCAAAATAAATATATGTGATAGAAAACTAGGTACCCATGCTCTGAATAATAGAAAAAAACAACAACGTCAACGGCGACAGTAACAGCAACAACAACAGCAAAAAACAAACAAACAAACACAAACATAAGAGGATGAGTATTGTTGTTGGCTAGATGATGATTATCTCTTTCTCTCTCTCGCTCATCTCCTTCTCTTTCATTTTATTTGTCATTATTATTATTTATTAATTATTCATTTATTAAATTAAATAAGAAATGAAAGACAATGGTATGTGTAACGGCGCATGATCCAATGAATGAACGAATGAACGAACGAATCCGCATAGATGACGCAAGAAGAATAAACCAAATGAGAGAGTAGTACAAGAAAAAAGGAACTTGAATAGGAGAGAAGGATTTCAACAAGAATAAGAACTCTGTGTCTGTTTGTTTGCTTGTTTATAGAAGTATCAAAAACACATTCAATAAAAATTATGCTCGTTTATCAGTGGCACAAGTGAAATAATAATGTCGTAGTAGTGTGCGCAGATTAGTTGAGAAATAAGTAAATAAGTAGTATAGGCAAGTAAAAATGTGAAAGAAAAAATAACAATAACAGTGATAATACTGAACAAGATATTACAAAAAAAACAGGAATCTGGTCGAAAAATCAACGGAGTTCAAGTCAACTGAAAATAACATAATGAGTGTGAGATAGGTTAATAATAATAGTAACCATATGAATGATAAACCGGTACATTCAACAGAAGTTGAAGAGTGAACACACATACACACACATCCTCATGTTTGTGCGTGTGCGTGTTTGTGCAAGAAGGCATCTTTGGCTTTATCATCAGATAATATGTCAAGTGAACAGACGATAAATTACATAATACGTGAATAGATTTACAATTTCTTTCAACCGGATTCACCTTCAATAAGCTTCCTTGTTATGCCGACAATGTCCACCACATAGTGTATGATGAGATATAAGTAAAAAACGGCAGGACCTTGAATGGAATGTGATGTAATACAGAGGATGTATGGAAAAGTTCAATGGTATGAGATAGTGACTGACCGACTGAGTCATTGATTGAGTAATGGACAACAGAAAAGCACTCGTGGTAATGCTCTTTACATAGTAGTTTATGTCAATGCACTGATGTGAATGAGAGCTGGAGGGATGGATGAATGGATGAATGAATAACAGAATTAATAGAACAGAACATGACAGAATAGAAATGCACAGTATTTTAACTAAAATATTTGTGCTACATAACAATAGATATATAGATATTTATATGTGGATGAACAATGTTCTCTGATTGTATATAAATAATGAGTTTATTAGTAAAATAGAGTTCATACACACACTAGGTACTCTATGCAGAAAATGACTATGATGATAATGAACTGTGTTAGGGGGCGGGGGAATAATGAAACTGAACAAATATACTCTATGTGTGAGTAAATATGTATACAAATAATTCTTTTTTCTTTTTAGAAATGGGACCGGTTGATTCATTGACTACAGTAATAATAATAACAATATCAAAAAGGAGGCGAATGAAAAAAAGTAGAGAATGTGCAAAAATTTCACCAAATGACAAAAATAATGCCACTCACTCACTCACTCATAACAAAATAAACACAAGGTTATAATATATATGACAAGATTTGAGAAAACAAAATAAACAAAAACAAAAAGAGAACAAATTACAAAGTCAGCGGCACTTGTATGCAACACTACACAGCATAAAATCATCTAAGAGACTAAATCTCATATCTCATCTTGTGTTCATTGATTATTTAGGCATTTACGCCATTTCTATACTTACTGACGACTAGGATTGTTGAATGGGTCAGTCAAACTGTTGGACAATGTTTTGCCTATAGTAGTAGAAGAAGAAGTTGAAATTGGCCAACTACTACTGCTACTACTACAACTTGAAGTGGCTGCCATACTGGGTATATTCATCATATCCGATGGACAAATTGACGAACAGGTGACACAGATTTCCGACATACTTGAATCAAACGATTGTCGGCTACTCTTCTCCGTTGATACAACAATATTTCGGTTAGTGGATGATGATCCATGCGGGTGTTTTGTCGACGGTAAACACGGGTTGGGAAAACGTCGACAGGCTTTCTTCCACTTGCACTGATTACACCATTGATCTCGATTTTCAATCCCATACACCTTACGACATTTACGTACATCTATGCGTCCAGAAGTGGTTAAAGCCGGTAAACCAATACGTAATGGGACAGTGGAGTCTTTGTAATCCAATTTTCTAGGTTGTGATGGAAGTGAGCCACATGTAGTGTAGCATTTTGACGTTCTGCTTGCTTCAACATCTGTTCGCATAGTTGATTCATGAGATAACGTGTGTGCTTGTTCACTTGTTGGTGATATTCCCAGGAAAGAAAAATCTCCAGATCTGTATTCTTGACCTCTAGACGGAAGGAAAGCGTGATGAAGCATATCTGCACCACCACCAGGATAGGAGGAGGACACCATTCGCGTTTCTTTATGCTACAACATAAAGGCAATATAAGAATACTTTTGAATAAAGGGGAAACTGGACGACGACGTGGATAACCAGAACAAAAACCAGACAATATCCCAACACAAAATGTGATTTTGAATTGAAGTCATTGACATATGGCACACTTCATACAATTGTGTAACCCCCCTCCCCACACCCATAAACAACCTTCGTAATGAACAAGGTGACACTATAATAACGTTTCACATGACTATTTAGTAGTGTAATCTCTGAGTCGAAACGACAGGGACTCTAAATCAGCACAGTTGAACACTGATTTCTTGTAAATACGTATTAGTGGAGTCTACAAATGCATCTATTTTTAGTAATCTGACGAAGATTTGCCTGCCTTACAACAGATATTCCTCACACTCCAGTTATTTCTGCTATTTATTAATACCTAAGCAATTTAAAGGCGTCGGTGGCACAGCGGTTAGGACGCTCGACGACCATTCATGTGGTCTGGAGTTCGATCCCCAACAGACGCACTCCTTTACCTCGCTAAGCCAGTTATAAAGCCGGTAAAGAGGAAAGTTTGGGCATGAGGCCAGCAACTCCATCCTGTAAAAATAAACACTGCTACAGAAACTTCAAGCGTGTACCTTGAAGCCCTATGTTCCACTGGGAACGTGAAGGAATAAAAAAGCAATTTAAAGACGAATTTCGTAGAGAGTTGATGTCGGCTGAAGAAGCGTTAAACACGAACTGACAGTAAGATAGTTCATGATTCTTCCATATTTTCACAAATGGAATAACGATCTATTATTACACAGTAGACAACACCAAAATCCAAACCTGTTTCATGATTTAGACATGAAAAATAAAGATGAGCATTAGAAGCCTCTGTGATTCCCCTTGACTTAATTATACTTCTATTGGTTATGTATATAAAGCAAAGCCCTAAAAAGGAAAGAAAATATATAGTAAGACAGAAAGGGAAACAGTACTCTTACGTGTTACTTAGTGTTCAAAATACAATGGAAATTCTACCCAAATCTTTTGACTAAGATAAACTGATTAACTGTCAATTAAGTTAGATCTTGGTGACATGATGATTTAGCTGGCGGTGAGAGACAGACTTATAAGTATCCATTCATCATACAGCAGTCAAAACAAGCTGTCGGTGAATAATAAGAAAACCTACTCTGGTTAGTTGTCTGGAATTCTAGATTGATCGTTTGACTAACGGGGCTTGTAGCTCAAAACCTTTTCGTTTTTGAAATTCACTAACTGAAAGACGGAGGGGACAAACACAAGACCTAATATTAATGCCTAGTAATGTCAGATGATTGAAGACAAATACACATGTCAAGTGAAAATTTGTGCGTCAGTGGCATAGCGGTTAGGACGCTCGCCGACCATGCATATGGTCCGGGGTTCGATCCCCGGCCACAGACACACTCCTTTACCTCGCTAAGCCAGAAATAATGCTGGTGAGGAGGAAAGGTTGGGCATGAGGCTAGCAACCCCATCCTGTAAAATAAACACTGCTTCAGAAACTTCAAGCCACTAGCTTGAAGGCCTATGTTCCACTGGGGAACGTGAAGGGAAAAAAAAGGAAAAATTTAAAAAGAAGGGATGTAAATGAAAAACAATATAATGCTATATATAATACAAAAGACGAGAAGACGAAGCATGAATAGTCCTAGACTACTTGAATCGAATCTGAGCCATAAAACTTACAGGCTTCCGTGTTAATGTGAATGGCAGTCAAAAAAAATATACACTTCTCTACACAGCACAGACAGACTAACAGTCTATGAACTGATGGATTGGCACCGTGATACATGCTAGTGATAGGTAGCTTAAATTATGATCGTACTCAGAAAATATGTTTCGTGAATCCGATAAATACGTAGATATATTATGTGTAGTGATATCTTGTTATGATCACGCCACTGTGATGTCAACTAGTAATTTGAATGCATAACTCTTACACCGGTTAGTTTAAGTAATATCGCACCTTGAAGTAGGTGTTCGCTAAGTGTACATGAAACATGTTCAAGCCATATATACATGAAAGATTTTTTTTCTCTTTTACCTAAATCCCTTAATTATCTGCTAAAGTCATAGTTCATATACCTGGCAATGATACTAAGAAGGTAACAGCAATTATTATACACCTTTAATTTGTTAAAATACATCGGTGAAGTAATATAACTACAAGCAAAAATTCATAAATGAAGACGTGTGAAAAACGTGGAGTTACTTCAGAACTCGGTATTTAAAAATCAGGCGTGTAGAATGATGAAGCTGCACATACACATACAATAAAGTAACAACAAAACTTAATATCAGCAATGAAAAGCATTTAAGTAAGAATATCTTACATGTTCAATACTTATATGACTTGGACTTATACAACTTTCAGAAAAACACGAATCCGACTCTGAAGGATGTGAATATCTGCTACGAGTTTCATTTTGTGAATCTAAGCATATATTATGCGTTGGACTGTCTACAACTGATCCAGGACTCAAGTTGTCCGTCGATCCAACACACGATAAATGTCTACGTACAGGAGTTACATATCCAGTTGTTGATTGTAATTTGTCTTCACATAGTATCTGTGAATGAGTTCTAGAGTATACTGGATCAGTACCATAACAAACTACATTAGTTGATGTTGCCGAAGGCACATTGGTTGGTGAAAGTAAAATTGAACTTAAGGCTTGTTTTAATCCATCTAACAGCATACTTCTTTGACCATCTTGATTAGATTCACTACGACTATGGGCTAATATGGAAGACAATAATTGAAAACTTAGTGAACCGCGTTCATTAATTAACGATGGAAGAATTTGTTGAGCATAGGCAAGAGGATTTGTTGAAGGATCAGCACCGGTCAAAATCTATTAAAAATAATTTGAGAAGATTAAAGGAGAAAGGAAGGATTATTTATACAATATAAATATTATAAATAACAAGTATAACAATGTCTAACTCAATCACGAATAAAACTGTCTCTTAGGCTTAATTAGTATACTATGAAGACACATTTACGAATTAATATGTACATGCGGTAGTGAACATATAAGAAGAAGAGAGGGACAGAACTACTAAACACGTAACAAAGAGCCTACGTCTTAGGAGTTCATCTTCGTTTAGTAGTGTCAAAACTCGGTGCCCAGTTGATACAGGACACCACGTTAAAACCTTTTAAGGTGCTGAACAGAAAAAATACTCGCCATCCGAAGACAGAAGTCTGAATTATGGATTCAAAAAGAAACTATTACTGGCTTATTGCACTGATTTCTTCACTTTAATCCATCAAAATTTCATTTCATTTTTATGAAGTAACTTGGTATTTCAATCCACTTATTTCTGTACTATATTTTATGAATAATTTTGTTATCATTTACTTCCTTTATTTTGCTTGCGTAACTCTTCACACGATTATGCAACAGTCTATGGGAATTACTAATATATGTGTAAAACTTGGGCACTGTAGTAGTAACCAAATCCCTACAAACCAATACTTGAATATGAATGAGATGCTCACTGGCGACTGGCCCCATTCAGGTAGCTAGTTACCTGGGCTCCCAGTGGGAAGTCGTGACAAGTAGGGTGCAGCAGGTCGGGTGTGAGGACAAATACTCGCCGAAGACATTGGCTAGCGGTTGCGCTATATCGTGAATTCATGGGCCATTTGATCGAGTCCCAGTGGCTTAATGGTATACGAGATCGCTTGCGTTGTAACCGGAAGGTCCTGGGTTCGAGTCCCAGTGGGCGCGTACTGCCTAAGAGTCCCAAACTAGGACGAAACAGCCGTCCGGTACTCGCAGGTTTTCCAATGGTTCTCTAACCAATGTCAGCTCATGATGAAATCCTGTAACCAATCAACCAAATCCCTACAAACCAATACTTGAGTTCCATATTAGTTTGTTTATTAGATGTATCACACAGTGAAACAGTGGTGGCACAGTGGTTAGGACTCTCGCCGACCATGCACATGGTCCGGGGTTCGATCCCCTGCCGGCGCACACCCGATATCTATGGTCGGCCTGAATTTGGGCTACCGATATCCATGCTGAAAATTCCACACTTGTGCTGAAAATACTGTGTGGAATCAAGCTGTAAATAAAAAATATAAAAAAATAAAATTTACTGGATGACGTTTCGAACAAAATTGATTGTTCATAATCATATCAATTTTAACCACACGACTTTGAAACTCTAATCTCACCTTTAACTTCTAGATTATTCCTCTCTTAACAATATGCAGCTAACGAGAACCCTATGAAATAGAATGAAATCCCTTAAGTTTGCAAAAGCCGTTTTTACTGCATTATCCAAGTTTATGAAGGGATATAAGTGTATGAAACAAACGATTACGTTAAATAAAAAGCAAAAATCCTGGAATTAATCACTATAATATTTCACTTTAATCAATAACTGAATGAACATATGATACTGAGAAAATAACAAGTGGAGATTTTCAAGGGTTGGTTTGTTAGGATTCAATTTGTTTTTACGAGTTTGACCACGGATTGATATCATTTAGAGAACCAATGAAAACCAGGGAGTACTACTTTATCCTAGTTTTAGGAATCATCGGCAGTACGCACTCACTGGGGTTCGAACCGAGGACCTTTCGGTTACAAGGCAAGCTCGTATACCACTCATCCACTGGGACCCAATTCAATAGCCTATGAATTCTAACTTTTACCAATTCGTGATTTAGCGTGACCACCAACCAATGTCATTGGCGGGGAATCCATCCTCACTGGTCACAACTTCGCACTAGAACTCAAGGAAACTCCGTCCTGTAGCAAATCACTAGCGAGCATCAGATTAATTTTCGAGAGTTGATTTGTAAGGATTAAATTTGTTTTTACGAGTTTTTAATGGTTCTCTAACTGATATCAATCCGTGTTCAAACACGTAAAAAGTGGAAATCTCAGTTAACATTTTTACCCATCTACATGATTTTTGCAAGCAAGGTATGCACATAAATTTCAGGTGTACTGATAAAATAGGTACTTCTATAGTTCATCGATAACTGAAAATACTTCCAGTATAATGGTTTCACAGCTTTTGATAAATAATGAATTTCTACAGTGGAGTACCATATTAAATAAGTTTATTTGACATAAAACACAGTGATACGATATTAGTAACTGGATGACGTTTAGACAACAATTTATTGCTTATGATCATTACATCAATGTATTTACACGGCTGCATAATTTGCCTTATGTATTTTTTGTCTTCCTATTGTTATCCATTGTAATAGGATTTGCGTCATTTCGATTCCACGTGTTCCTTGTCGATTCTGAGGACGAAGATCCTCTGGTTAATTTCTCTCTGCCTAACTATACTACTGTTTAATACGTTCACCCTATCCCACCCAATTGTGTGATTACATAGAGGTAGAATGCATTGCGATGGATGAGGATCTTTAGATCATTCGTTCTAACTTCAGCTGAATTCTTGTTTCGATAATCTAACTGACCCCGACCTACTTAGTTTGACCTATGTAATTGAACTCACGGTTATTGCATGGTATTTGATAAATCATATTATTTTTCTTAAATGCATCTATCGAGTACTTAAGCCAAAAATGGGTATCTTTGAGTGAGCTTGTTGGTTTATTTCCAGCCTTATCGGGAATCCAGCGTAGGGCTTCTGATATTGATTCTTTATATAGCAGTACTGTCGAGGCTGTAAATCCCTTATTATTCATATTATTTTCACTGTTTACTTCTATTCTCCTTATGTCTTCATACTAATACTGTACTGTTATATCAGGTAAGTGTACCTAATATGGAGTTACATTCTACAACAGTTTAGCGCTTACATTAATTTTACAATGGAGTATTTAACGAATCAACTAAGTAGACAATCATAGAAGCGACATCAATTATCCCATTGTACTATAGGTAAAGGAGTTAACTTTATTCCCAACGAGTAATTTTTATTTCTCAAGATCAGTCTAATGAAAGTGATTAAAATTATTACTACGATATTGGTATATTAATACGAAGGATTTTAATCGTTCTTTAGTATATATATATATATATATATATATATATATATATATATACTTGGGAGAACATATGAGGTTACAGGTTATCAATCTGAACATATACTAAACAACATTCGTAACAAATAACGGTCTTAAAATTTCGAACAGCTAAGCCATTAGCAACAACAAACTGAATTAACATGCCTAACTTTATACTCCTTGTTCAATTTTTTTCTCAAAGTAACTATGAAAGTGATATTTACTTGGGGAAGAAATAAATTCGACAGACTTACATAACGAGAATCACTTCTAGGATCCAGAGGATAAACTATAGAAGATGAAACAACCGGTGAATCTTTACAAAAAGGATTGACATGTGATAGATTTGTGTTTGCTGGTTCTTCTTGAGTTGACTTACAACCACATACGCCAGTAGGAGGCAGTTTTTCTTTCGCGCTTTGTTCGGAAAACTTAGAAGTATATCTTGGACACTTGGAAGCATGTTTCATAGTATAATACTGCGACCTTTCATGTTGTTGTAGATCGTATACTTGGAACTCAGTTGGTTGAATATGAAGGTTTGGAGAGACACATTCTTTATTTATTATACCTGACATCTGTCTCGGACTGATACTAATATTACCAGGTGGTAATGGTATGTTTCTCTCTGAGCTTCTCCCCATTACAGGAAAATGTGATTGTTCCAGAAGTGATGGAGAAATCTCTGGTTTACAAGAGTCTACAGAACAACTTCGACTGCAGTCACATTCAGCTATGTTTGATGGTGTTAACAATGTTTTCATAGCCTCTTTCAGCTCATTCACATCGATTTTATCCCATCCACCAGCTAAAAGTGAAAAACAAGCCAACAGGAAAAATCCTGGTTGAAGTTTCTAACGCAACTTATCATTTATAATTATATCAAATGCAACTCAAAAACTCTGAAATTTGGTTATTATAGTTGAATTCTTTTCCCTAGTCCATCGTAGAGGTAACAGAATTTTCAAGGCACTCCTGATAGGCGTTGGGACATCTCTTTCGAACGTATAGTCAGCTGACTCGATAAACTAAGCTCCTGTTATTAATCTCCTACTCATTGTCCTGTTATTTTAAATTTTAGGATTACCACTTTGTACAACCCTACTTTATGGTTGTGTGACTACCCCCAGTGCTAAAGCTGGGCTTCTTCTCTACATTTCAGTTACTTTTTGTGCTCTAGACCCATAGTTATTGGCAAATGGATGTGCAGGTTAGCGAAACAATCACCTACTGATCACATTTCAAATTACTTCATCTATGCTGTGCATACTGAAAAGCTGTACACTCCACAGAGTGCATTGTACATTACTTCTAAAATACAAAACGATTTAAGCCATTGATACTTTGATGCTATTCACCATGCACTCAGTGTTCGATGTAATAATGTAATTCTCTAGAATGGTTGTAAAATACTTTTTAAGATTGGGACTTCATTATTTCACTATCTACAACTGCGGGGAAATAAAAAATTCCAGGAAAGATACTAAGTACTCCATATTAATGCGGGATCATCAAATAAATAAACACATTAATTTAAATTGAAAATAACCCACATGAACGTGTTTACTGGCGTGCTGAATCTAAATGGTTGTTGATCAGTTCTCTAAACCTAGGTGATAGGTATCACGAAATGCTGAACTTCTCGAAGAGTAAGATATTAAGTAGAATTCTGTCAAACTAAATGCTATTAGACAAGATGCAAAAACATTATAACAGAGGCTTATTTATCATAAGCTGGGACTTACAATCAGATATTGTATTGAAAGAAACAGATTCGATCCAGCGTATAACTGTATCAACTATCTGATCCACTGAAGCTCGATTTGGTAAATTTGTGGGATAAGATGGATTAATGCATTGGCTTTCCAAGTGCAGTCCACCGCTATGCGCTCTCATGCGTTCCTTGGTAGATAACTCCGGTTGTGATGAGAATGCATCCCAACTTTTATGAAAGTAGACATCGTTCTTCGTAGGACTCATCCGTTGAGCTGATGAACACGTGAAGAACGGAGAATCTACGAAGCCATGAGACGGTAGACTGGTTCCAAATGTCGAAGAAGGATGTGAATAAGGATTGTCATCTGTGAATGTCTTTTGAGGTGTGCTAAAATGTTCAACCGAAGGTTTAGGGATGCTAACATCAACTACATCAGAAGAGCCCAAAATCGGTGACAGACTAAACGAAGCCGTTGAGTTTGATGGTAAACCAGAAAATGTGGTCATTGGCTCATAAGATGTGCCTTCATCGATAGATGTCCTTCAAAATCAAATGTTTTAGGAGCAGTAAGTATAAAGGTTTACAATATAACAATGCTACTATACAAAACTTTAAAGTACGGGTACTTTTCTTGAAAGCATGCATGCATTCACATGAGGCAAAATGCCAAGCATGTCAAGTGAAGCTCCTAATCTACGAGCAACACAATGAAAAAAGGTTGGTGGTTAAAACAATAAAATCACATAACAGACCGTATAATATGGAAGGAACAACGAAGTAACAAAGAGCTCATACCAAGAACTAACTGAGTCATGAAAATACATATCCCCTACTTACATTAAACCATCCTCAAAGTGATATCCAAAAAAAATAAAGATTGTCTGAAGTATAACAAGACGCGGACTCCAAGGACTAATGGTAGTGGGTAAATATTGCGCTTCACACAGTATGTGACTCAGAGACATTACCAAATATTGTGAAAGTGTTATGAGGCATGGGAAACAAAAACAGTTTTAGGAATACAAACAACGATATAGATTTTCTTCAGCTGAACTAACAAAAGAAATTTGTGACAATTAAACGCGTATGCATTAATCAACAAGATACAACCCTATTTATGATATGATAAATCAGTAAGGCGAAATATAAACGAAAATATTTGTGAGCTTCAATGTTTTACATCATCATTAACGAGAAACCGAAACTCCTGCAATCATTAAGTAGGTCTGCCAAGTAACTAAAAAATTCGAACCAAAAAGTCATTTCAGCATATGCCACAAGCACGCTATTTAGGTTGAATAAAATGCAAGATTTATTTTAAATATTGTTAGTCAGAAACTAACCTAGAAGGAACATCAATGAACAAGGGGTGAGAAAAAGAGTCCGAAACAGATACTTCGTGTTGACTTGCTAATGAGGCTACATTGCTTGTATTTTGTCCACTTTCATCACATCCAATGATGTCACTGTCCCATTCATCTTCTGTTGGCGGAGTTAGGATTGACTGTTGGGGGGTAGAAGGCAGTATGTCCTCAAGGCCGCGTGTTACGAGACTAGAACTGCCATCAGCTGGACGCACAGTAAACATATTAAGTTCAGGCATACAATGGACGACTTGACCATAGCAAACTGTGCCGCCATAGCGTATCCAAACACGAGTGCCTGGTTGGGGTGTAGAGGGCCACCTCCTTAGAAAACGTTGCCCATCGTCCCCGCCATAAAAACACCTTGATTCATTTGACGAAGAGGCGGCCCCTGCGGAATTAGAGCTTTCAGCTATGCTGCCTGTGCCAGCTCCAAAATCAGAGTTATCCTCTGAGGCAGAAGTAAATGAGTCTTGATGTCTCTGCAATTTGAAGGAACGGAAAAATTATTAAAATCTCAATCTATCACTCCGTTGCGCACATTTATAACTTTGAAGAGACGTAGCCAATTTTACGGAACCACGCATAATTAAAAGCAGGTGCACGAATGACCTTGACGGGACGAACTCCCCTCTAAAACTGTACAGTATCCAATATCGTCAATCAGAGTTAGTATAAGCCAAATCGTTTCCTTTGGACCCCCTTCTTGATTGTAAGAAAAAGCTATTGGTTTCCAAGTAAGCCTCTGAGTAATTTGTTGCCCCACTCGCCTGTGGTAGCTGCGATCTACTCTACTGATATGAGAAACTGGTTATATGAGTTTTGTAGTATGTGGTATGTTAAGACTGTAGTATTACCGTGAAAAAGTTACCCCATTCATCAATGTGGTGGAAAGCCAGGTACAAGGTTAAACTTTGCGCACTGAAGAGGACTGAACGGCTGAAATTATCCCGCATGCTCAAGGTCATTGATGAAGTGAGACGCTCGAAGGTCATTTTCGTCCATGTTAGTCGGTCATGTTGGATTGCAGTTTCGTAGCCGTTCGTTTACACATTGGTTTATACGTTCTGTTGGCATTAATAGGTGATTACCATGTACTGATAGCATTCTTTTGTAAAATAGTACTGTACTTCACACGAAAATAGCCACATTTTGACGCAGTCTTCATTGAATGACACTATGTCGAAAGCTGCAGCTTCTACAAGAAATAAACTATTTGTGTAGATGACATTACCCCCCAACTACCCCATCTTCTTCATTCTAGAGATGTTTTGACGCATTCAGCATGAAACACTAATCATTACAACCAATATGGTAAGTGTGTCGCAGTCAGATTAAATGACGCGGACACCAACATAACTAGCCAGGAAACGAGAATTCCTATCAATCCAGAAAACATATAACAAAATTTTATTAAAAATTATTGACAAAAAAATTTGCCGAGCGAAATTTCAACCAACATGCCGGATAAGTCCAGCCGGACTGAACGCGACAGTGACCTTGGAAAAGTCCATACCCGCAAATTCGGCTCTAAAACCCTAACCCTATCCCTAATCTTTCCTCTACTTAACCCGAACCTACCTCTCACTAGCCCAAATATCTATCTAATTAGGTTGACATTAACCCAACATATTCTAACCAAAACCTAACGTTAATCTTTCCAAGACATAAACAGAAACTTAGCAGGTATCCTTTTTGATATTACAAAACTTCACTTAGTATGATTTTCATGAATATGGCGAAGTTTGCCTGATTTCAGAGGCCTACTTACAGCGTGTCCCAAGGTCTTCGATGCGTAAACATACCTTCGGAGCCTAGAGATTAACTTCACCTCAATATTTTAAGTAGCAGTAACGACAATAAAGTATGAATTAAAACGCACAATTGAAAAAACAGAGAATTAAATGTAGTTATTAAAAACGAATACTACTGTAAAGTAAATTTATTTCATAGGTGCATACAGTGATGCAATAAGATATATTGATGATACTTCGGGCACAATTAATCGCTCACAATAATGCCGACGCACTAATACGTGTTCACAACCTACTCGGCTCTTCCAAGAATTAGACTGCTCTCATTACACTTGGATCATCAGCATAAGGAGGAACCAGGAAACTATGATGATATGAGTGATATGAAACCTAGGACTCCGCCGAGATATTAAAGCTCCTTGGCATCCATTTTCTCATTCTCTGTTCCGTGAGTATTGAGGAGCAACTGCGAAAAAATTTTCAGTCTTCGCCTTTACTGGGAAAAAACGGTCATCCTGCCCAATAAAAATGTGGCCCACTAGTGTCGCCTATCCAGCATGTATTAGTATATGTATGTATTAGTGCTGTGACTTCAACAAGATTTTAACTGAAAGGTCAACATTGAACTGCTGAGTTTCTTGGAGTCTAGAGGACAGTCTGTATGTAGGTTTTCCAACGAAATCTGCTCCATAACTTGTCGAGCTTGATAAAAAAAGAAATTAAACGTAAATTGCTATTCCTTGGATTCAGCTTTTGTGATGCATTTAAACATTCGATACATTAGCTTATACCGAGGACTTAATGAACTATTTGTAAGGCATAAGTCTCATGAATAAAGACAAGGAGAGTTGGTTAAGATAGGAACAAGTCAACTGTGCAAACCAATAACTTGTAGGGCCCCCTATTTTAACTCTAACTGTACGTTTGTAAAACCAACTCATGTACTCACGTTATGGGTTTGCAGAAGCTAATTTTATATATGTTTCCCGAATATCTATCACTATATTTTTGAAAATTCCTTTTCCTTCTTCACATATGTATTTTACGTGGTTACATACTTATTTGCTGCTTTCGCGTTTTTTGAATTTTTTATTTCGTTAGCAATACATTTTTTAAAGTTTTCACTTGTGCTTCTTAATACAACATTGTTCGTCTTTGACTGTGTACAGCGCCAGCACATCACAGTACTATAGTATTATAAACGCATTCATCTTCAGTATACCATACCCTTAATTTACTGACCTCCCTCTTCAAAATCCCGCTGGATAAACATCATTAATAAATGTATTCCCCGTTATTCGTTTGTATATTCTACTTGGTAAGACCGAATATTAGCCTCTGCGTAAGTTGTCAGTTACAGAGTATATGAGGCTATCTTTGAAATACTAAGTAGGAGGAGATATTCGGAGAAGCCTATTGGTAAAAAGATTATGTTGTGATCAAATAAAGTAAATATGTCCAAATCTCAGAGGAGGTATTGTGATTATAAAGCATTTTGAGTTGTCTGTCGTCTTAGCAGAACATATAAAATGATTCACGATTCATAGTCACAAAGTGAAAATAAATCTGTCTGATAGTGTGCTTGTGATTTCTACGTGTCGCAATGTACAGTGAGGATAGACTGGACCTATACTATTAGATTTACAACTCCGTTGCACTACGGTCATCGTAATAATTAAAAACAGAATGCCTGCGGTTCGCAGCCACAGAACACGGTACGTTGCTATCTGTTGATCTAATCGCGTAAAGAAAAGTTTTCCAGACGACTCATTTACTCCTTACAGTTTACCCCTCAATTCCTACCTTATCACGTGTTACTAATGTTACTGGAACACAATCGCATTACAACAGAAGGAACACGGACTCATTGAAAAACTGTTTATTAAACAAAAATTAGATTTCAGATGTACAGATAACTCAGATAAGTAGTCCTCCGTTACTGTCAGTGGGTTCCATCTGCGTACACAGCACATATATGTTTCTCCACAAGCCTGGAAAGGTTTGAGAGAAGCATTACTAACTTGAGTAGTACATGTATGATCTGAATGAAAAAATCTTCTTGATAAGCATTTACAAGTAATCACTTTACAAACAATACATAGAAGTAGGTAAATAGTTTTCACTAAACTTAAGGGACTCCGTAATTTATCGATGGTGGATATCTGGTAGGTCCATTGAAGCATCGTGAAATGATAAAATTATTTAACGATAAGTTACACAATAGTTTCTAAAGCTTCTACAAAAATTTGAATAAAAAATGACAATGGCTCTATGACAAATAGTAAGAATTCATAGTGACTGAAATCAATAATAGGTATTATAATCGCAACGAATTCATCGTTAATTTAGATAGACAACTACTAATAATACAATCATACGATTAAATGTATCACTTAATCTTATGAAGCAGGTTTTTAATTACTTTCACTGTATTCTCGCAATACTAACGTGGTCAACCGGCTTATTCCGAATGGACTCAAGATTAATTCTGAAAGTGAGTGGACACCCAGTTTATGTCAACCAAAAGCACGTAGCCTACATGTAATACACTGCTTGCTGAGACATTTGATACCTGCTTTCCGATCTTCGTGACAAGAATACAGTTTATGTAGGTACACTTACATGTATACTTACATGCTGCACCAACCGCTGTGTATTTCATACTGATTTGAGGATCTCTGAGAATAATAGTCAAGTGATAATTGAAGTTGCATGAAGTTATCACCTTTTCGGAACATTGTTTGCATTCTTGACATTCCTAGGAAGCCTTTAGATCTTGACATGGGATGAATTCATTGAATTCAGCAAATAAATCCTCTGGTATATCATTTCTATACTGCGCTGTAATAGTATATATTGTCATTTATTCACCCGACTTGATAAAACGCTCCTGAAAATTGCGAACATAACCAAGCAGCTAAATGATGTTTGAAATTACCGCAACTCGAATGACAAACTGGCCAATCACAAAAGAGCAAGTCACTTGTTTATCTCACTCGCGGGCACACGAAATTACTGCCGTCAACGGGCTGCCATTATATGGTATATTCCCTATTTGAAGTGGTGCCACCTGCTTCACCTTGAGGGCAACTGCGCGGTTAAGTTGATTTGAGTTGGGGCCAGTCGTCCAGACAAGTGCAGTTGACGTGGTCTTAGTGCTTATTTGGCTCTTGTTGGGTAAACTTATATAAAAATTGTTGTTTGATATTGTTCCTAGGTATTGACGCGTTTTTTTCAGCAGGACGCTTAAATATATGGCTCACGCAATGATTAATTTGGTATACTCCCAGCTAACATTGACTTAGGCTGCATTGTAGAATGTTTGGCGCAGACTTCGGATGCATTGTAGAATTCTTGGGGCAGACTTCAGGAGCGCTGCAGAATATTTGGAGCAGGCCAAAGAGCCTTGTCCCACGTTCTGCAATGCGCCCGACGATTCGGCGATGTGCTTGAAAAAATTGCCATACACAGCCGTGTATGGTCCGCGTACATTTAGATGACTGGCTATTCAAAAATTTCTTTGTAGCTCACTGGCGACCTGCACTCGGTTGTAAATTCTCCGATCAGCTGTTGTGCAGTACCTATTTCTGTTGTAGGAACCTAATAATATGGTTGTTATCGAATTCGTGCTTTTGCACTTTTGTGTCGTTTTTTGACTGCCAAAATTCAATGAAATCCATAGATACAAGCAGATTGGTGTTTATGTATGGACAGAAACTAAAATATGTTTTACGAACACTCGCAACATTTGCTGTTTTCTGCCAAAATGTTTAAATGACTTAAATGCATACAACAACATACCCTAGTACTTTGCTGGATTTGAAAAATTGAACGTCGTCGTAATCAGGGACGTAAACATATCTGAGGTGTGCATTTTTGTGTCCTATTATTGTGATTGATTTCATAGACTTCCCGCTATTTGCTGCTACATTATGTGCGTTTGTACAATGACAATTCACAGGATTATCTTGGCATAATGTAGGCGCAGTGTCCGACATTTACGAAGCTATATCCATTAGGTTTAGAAGCAGTTGCTATGTTCACTAATCGATCTCCGCAAGTAAGGGCTGGTTTCAGAGCGTGTCAATGGACGTGAACATTGAACGTTTGTTTATTGGAACTGGCAGCCATTGGTGGGCAACTCGAAGGCGCGAATGGTTCGATCGCGAGCAATTTGGACGAAAGCGGAAAGAACACGAATAAAAGTACTTTATAACTTCATTTGTACTAAACATTTGTTTGTAGACTTTGTATTTTGTCTCGCTTTCATTGCCAAACAATATGATTTCGTTCAAGGAATACTGGTGTTTTGGATTTAAAGTTGAAACATATACATAGTATTTATCGGTTCAAAACGAAAACGTCTTCATTACAATAGGAACTTAGGACTAAGTTCCTTGACAGAGCATATTCCGAAATGTCTCCAGAAGCAAATAAAATCTTCAGAACCGATTAATGGTGAGAATAGCAAACCTAGCTCCTCTATTGCGAGACATATTATAGAGGCAGGGCATAAACCTACATGTAAGACGTGTTTGGGGTGTGTCCTAAAGTTTGTGGAAGCCCTGGCAGTTAGGAGGTTTAAACCACCTTTTTGCCTTTAAAACAATTCGTTATGACACTTAACCTACCTTATTTGGTTAACTTTGTTTTGATTCCAGTCAGAGTGGTTGTACTATTGCCCCTGTTATTTGGTTTACTGATCTTCATTGTTATTTTGACCTTCAATATGTCTGCTTAACTTGACCTAAATTTATTTTCTCACCTCATAACTCTTTATTAATTTCATATACATTCCTATGACAACTCCGTGTGTGTTCAGATGGTTTGCATTGTGTTGCGCAAATACGTTAGGCGATTTAGACGAATTACGTCTTCTCATTGCTTTGTCTAAACATCCACTTGTCAAAAATAGTGACCGACAAACTTCATTAATTCTTACTGCGTTAAATTGTGTATTATTATATTAATGGTTATATTCACTATGAACTCAGATTCTGCGCATCAATTGGATGTATTCGATGGATTCCTCTATTTATTGTCGATTGATATTCCTGTTATTTTGCCCAGTTGTTTCACAGGCCTATAGTTCGTTTTCTGAGGATGGATTAGTTGTACCTGTTTATGATAGCGGTGATACTGCGAGTGGTAAGTCATACAAATAAATAATCAGGTAGTGGGGGGGGGGAACGGCGTTTATTGAATGTGAGAATTTGAAGCTACCTAAAGTCAGATTTTAGTTTATGATAAAAGTATCAGTATACATGTTGTGTATATATAGGGCGTTAGCGTTTAATGCAGTTGAACTATTTCCATTCTCCTGGTTTTGGGATGTGTAGACAGATATGACTTCAATAATCCTCATTTCTCGAAATGCCTTTATAAGTTATAATATCAATTTTGAGACAGTGAGTATCAATCATGTTACCAAATGCTGGAGCCTTTTCCCTGTCTATTATTTTTCTGGTATTTCAGAATAAAACTATTATTTGAGTTTGTTCCATTGTCGATAGACAGCTGCATGCTGTGAATTTAATTCTTAGTTAGATTCTGCCTACCTCAAGAAATAAGTTTTTGATACAGGTTCACATAGCCAACAGTGGCCTCATAATTACTGTGAATACTACAAGCGGTGACCAAATATTTCTGTTTATTTCAGTGATCCCATAAGTTTTGCCTACATTTTTCTCTTCATAGTAATAATAAATAAATAAGTAAATGCTAACCGTCCTCATACTACAGTCATAAAATCGTCACATAAATACAGTATATTTCCGAAGGATTATGGCGCATTAGAGGTACTTTAATAAATTCAGGTAGGCCCTACACCCGGAGGTGCGCCTTAAGCTTTTTGATGTTTTAATGCTCCAAATTTCTACCCAGGCTCATTACTAATAAAATGTATCAGAAGCACGAGACCGTTTTGGATGAATAGACTTTTATGTGACATAACACCTTTCCATTCGCTCATTGCTCATTCTATACTTAACGTTATTCATTTTACCAGTATTGGTTTATGCTGTTGCCTCTCGTATTATTCAGTTAAATGCACTATCTTATTACCTGATTTCCGTATGACAGGAATTGTTGCCTGAACCTTATTTACGTCTAGGGTTAAGTATAGTTTTGTTTGCTGTAAAGCACTCAGAGCTTGTAGACTTGTTTTCTTAGTTTCCCTTAGTATTGTTTTGCTAGGATGAAAAACATTGATATTTAAGTTAATCAAACATGTATATATATGTACCATTTTTTAATGTTATGGTTAGTATCAGGCTTATTTTTCGTAACTTCATCACAACCGGACTAAATTTGTGTATTTATTATGATTTTGTTTGTTATGGTCACGCTTTGCTAGGAGAGCTTCGTGGATGTATCAGTTTCTTGAATGTAAGATCCTCTTGTTGTATAAGAAACTGAATACTCTCCACTATCTTGAGTGATATATCCTACACCTTTACGACATTTTCATGAAGATCATCTGGGTACGGTTTGTTTCTAGATACCCTACAAATTGCTTAACTCTTTGTTTCTAATAATCCCGTTGATTCTGAACTTGTTGATAGCATCAGATTTGACCCAGTATTAAAGTTTTGATGATACCTATTACTATGTTGTGCTTGTGACATGTACTCATTTGGTCTTTTCAATAAATTGTTAGACTTTCACATGTGACTTAAACTTGTATACACAATACAGACGTATAGGCAGTGACTTTCCAAACTCCTTGGTTAACTCAAACTTAAGTCGTTGTTAGTGATCTCATTCCACTTTCACAAATCGTATATTGTTCGCGAAATCGAAAGGACTACGGCTTCTTTGTCATGCTGCGTTAAAGAGTCTTTACGTGCTTTTGCTTTCTTTTACCTGGCAGGACATCACTAATATCGATTTCTAATTTCGGTCTTATATTTTGATAAATGCGAATACCAATTAAAACATTCTTACTTCTGTTTGCAGTGTATCGGCCAAAGTGCCTTTCACTAGCTGCATCGATTAATAGGTGTCTTGAAAGTTAAATAAAAAATACCAATAGAAGTATCAGCATCACAGAAATAAGATTTAGGATTTCTAAAATGACTGTTTGTCCTCTGCGACTTGGTCAATATATACTGAATATTTTTCTCAACGCCATTTTATCTAGTGTCAGTGGTATCACACCTGCTCAAGTCAATAAGCCTCATCGGCATAAGGAAACTTCCCCATTAACCGCTATATTACAATGTTATTCCTCCATACACTGTACTATACTTACAGATTCATGATTAAATACCTTATTCACATAAGTTTGTTTTATTCACTTCCGAATAACTTACTGTTAATTTCTTTCGAATGTAATCAAAAGTGGAATGAAATTGAAACGAGATATGTTGGAGGATTTCATCATGAGCTGAAATCAGTTAGAGAACCATTGGAAAACCAACTGGGAGTACTGGACAGCTGTTTCGTCAGCCTAGTTTAGGACTCTTCATCAGTACACACCCACCGCTAGGGTTCGAACCCAGGATCTTCTGGTTACAAGGCGAGTTAGCTCATAGACCATTAAGCCACTGGGACCCGATCAAATGGCCAGTCAGCGCATGAATTCTAACTTCTGCCAATTCGCGACATAGCACGACCACTTCACAGTGTCTTCTTCGATGAGTTACTGCCTCACCTTCAACTTGCTGTATCCTACTGGTCACGGCTTCCCACTTGAAAGCCAGTTTCACTGCCTGAATAGGGCCAGTCGCTAGTGAGCATCAAATGAATTTTCAAGTATCGGTTTTTGTAGGGATTTAGTTTGATTATAATCTGGTGAAGAGTCCCAGGTTTTCCAGTGGTTCTCTAACTGATGTCAGCTGATGATGAAATCTTCCAACCAATCAAACTAAATCCCTAAGAAAAACCAATACTTAAAAATAGATATGCTCAGAGTTACTTTAAGAAATATTTCTCATGAGTTTAAGTAAATATAGGATAGCTAATCACTAGTGTTTCCATGAGCTATTTCAAAATATTTTGATTTGCCGAATTTACTGAGATAAATTTAGTGGTCCAGTAGGGTAAAAGTGGGCTACATTTACTCAGTGGCACAGTGGTTAGGACTCTCGCCGACCACGCACATGGTCAGGGGTTCGATCCCCTGCCGGCGCACACCCGATATCTATGGTCGGCCTGAATTTGGGCTACCGATATCCATGCTGAAAATTCCACACTTGTACTGAAAATACGGTGTGGAATCAAGCTGTAAATCAAAAAAAAATTCATGTATACATCCTATAAAACCTTGTTTTCTGTTTTAACCCCTGGGTAACTTCGGCTCGTGGTTCTTTGCTAAAGAAAGTGGTTTCCAGTACCGCTAATTTTGTATTCTGTTTTAAATCACTAATAAATGTATTCCCTATTCTTCAAACTGATATTCCACTTGTTGATAGTGAATATTAACCTTTGCGGATGTTGTGAGCTGCAGAGTTTGGGAGACTAGGTTCATGTGTTATATTGAGTAGTGTATTTAGAAGAGACGTTTGCCTCTGAGTTGTATTTTCGTTGATATGCAGTACATTCTTGTTGTCGTGATAAATTTGTTATCAGTAATTATCATCACTACCTATGTTTTGGGAGGATGGTGTATAACAAAGCATACTAATGCAGTTTTCAAAGGTTAGGACTATCCGTTTGAATTGAATTAGGTGCTTACGTAAGGGAAAATTGATACTTAGAAAATCGAAACATCAAATAAGTGATAGTTATTAATATCGTTCACATGCGAAGAGTTAAAGTTAAATATTTAGAAGTAATAATAATTTTTAAATAGTAACTTGTTGATAGTTTAGGAGATGTTTTGTTTGATGGAAACAACGGCGGGAAAGTATAACTGAATGCATGGATAAGCAACATCAACTGGCTTGTATATACGTATTTCGATGAAAAACACAATCAAGCAAAGTATCTCGAAGACAAGAGTAGAGTAGTCTCTTGAAACTACTAATTTAGTGGATATCTAAATTTTTTTTAGGTCTGGAAGTAAACGGCATATTGGTAGGCCAAGTGATTATCATTATTCATTTATGTTAGAATAAGTGTATCCGGGCACTATATCACTCATTATTCTGTCTTTTGAATAACTTAGTAGCATGGCATTTACTTTCGGATCCAAATTACTAAGTATAGGTTGATATCCCTAGGGGGTTTCTTAATAAAAAAGATTTAATTGTCGCTAAAGTAAGTATGTAGTGACCCATTTTATTACTTATCATCGTAGTATACTTTCATTGTGTAATTGGACTTTGATTTGTTTATCACTCTAAATCTTGCGTGTTAACAATTGATACTTTTGTACTCGCTCGATTTTTGAATTTTGATTGCTGCAATAATACACTATCGTATTCCTTCGCAAGTGCCTTATGAATTACGTTGTGGATGTCAAGTAATCGCAACGTTAGGACACAATTATAAAAGCGAAGAAGTACTAGGATATAAGTGCACATTAGTTTGGTCAAAATAGAGCAACACAACAATTAAATATGTTCATATCTATAAAATACTAAGGTTTGGAGTTGTTTTTTCTACTACCACAACACCAGGTGATTCACTAATTAGTCATAAAGTAAAACTAGATCTGCCGAAGACAGTGTGCTCCTAATTTCTAGATATCGTAGTGTACTGTGAAGGAAGAACTATATCTATAGGTTAACAGGATTAGAGGCATGACATTAATTCAAAATTAAGTAACCACGATTCGCAACCACAGAACACACCACGTTACAATCCATTCCTTTTGTCGTGTCAATCAATGTGAAACCAGTTAAGAACAGAGAGGGAACCTCACTGGTTTTAAGAAAATCCATTTGTGTTCCTTAATATTATGTATGTTCCGTAATTATAGGCAAACTAGAAAACTCACCAAGTCAACACATATATACGAACAACAAATGAGCGTACAGCGGAGCGTCGATTTAAAGGAATGCCTTCTCGATATGACCAAGAGTTCACGTGAAGTAACACATACCTAAATCTGCAGGTTCCTGTGTAAGGTATTGCATTTCGCCAGCCTTTTGTCTGCATGACTCAGTGGGACGCTTCCATATTCAACAAATTTTCAGTCCATGAATGCTACTTGTACATGCAGGAATTTTACAACACAAAGAATGCCCTTCTGGGATGTGGTGCTGTGTTACACTAGAATCCCTCAGTCTACGGGTAAGTCACGCTTAATAATAGCAGTATTACCGCTTTTATTTGAAAAAGTAATTCGACTGTGTCACAGATGCTTTTGGCTGGATTCCTCAGTACCAAGTATTGTTCACTATGAGAATGCATTGAAGAAACCCTGCAGGGAGATATTGCAGCTTCGCCGAAAATTGAATAGAAGCATTTCACCTATACAAGGTGTATACAGTAATGAAAACACTGTTAACTCACTGCGCTCATATCTACATTACTCAATAAAATTTTCTTGTTTGGAAGTTAAACATGTACATACATATTTTGTCAGTAACTTCAAATACGCACTAACATCTAAATTTCAAACGCCTTCTGTCATAACACTCCATCTGGTAGCAGTCTGATAGTCATTTACGAATGCAGTAAAAAGTATTACATGGATCACGAGTAGCATGTGGTACTAAGCAGAAGTATGGGCACTTAATGAAAGTATTTTTGTGAACCAATACGACGAGGTTAGCTTTTTTCTAATATATACGCATCTATCAACGCAATGAAATGATAATGACGAATTGTTATCACAAGGATTGTATTTACTATGGAGGAAATGCTATTATAGGCAAACTTAATAGCAGCGTGTACAAGTCTTGCATGTCACTACATCAGTAATATAAGCATACTAATTGTACTACGACCCAATGTGAATAATCTCAAGGCTTCAAACCAACAATAGATAAGATTTTATTTTGATAAGTCCCAAAGTGTTGTGCAGTAACATTAACCGATGACGTTTTGAGCACAAGTTATTAATTCCAACAACTTTGTGGGAGGTGGATGCATTGAAAGACTGCTTACAGACACCATGCATGACGACACCTAGTAGAATGTCTACGAAGACTAACAACCTGCAATGAGGAAGACAAAAATGGAGCAATTAGGAGACACTTTGGGCATAAGATATGTATTTTTGATATAAGTATAAAACTTGGGCAATGTGGTAGAGTATAACTCCATTATGAATAAGATATTACTTTAATAGATCACACAGTGTTATACAGTTATATTAACTGTAATGTTACTGCATAACACTGTGTGTTTTAACACACAACTCAGCACACAAGTGCAGCAATTCGGTTTGTCACATTCCACACTTGAAAAATATTATATTTAGTTGGTAATAAGAAAAAATATTTCGTCAAATGTGTTTCGACTTAGCATTTAGGCTATGGGATAAAATAAACTAACTCATGAGACATAACGAGACAGAATGTGAGTTATTTCGGGTAAGAGGAGAAATTATTGTAAGATAACTCTTTCAGTTAGACAAGAACCAAATGAAAAAAAAGATTATCATTTGTTAACATCTTGGTGTTTATTATCCACCTTTTAACATTTTGTTATACCTAGACTAAGTCATTCTGACTGACTTTCAACATAGAAGCATGCACCTGTCCAAGCTGCCACATTCCGTGTATCACACATAGATAGGGAAAGAAACTACATAGAACTCGTATCAGTATAAATGTGAGGGAGAAGGGATAGTGATAAGAATGAAATATAAGGGTTGGATGGATACGTGAGATTACACAAAGTGAATGCATCTGTCACTGGCAATGACTTAGAGTCATATCTCTACCTGACACTATACGTTTAACCCCATTATTACTCACCATATTATACTACTTAACACAGGAGATACGGCACAGTCACCTACGATCAAACACCAGTAGTATTTTCACATCTGGCAAATTCAGTGGTCACTTATCACAACCTAAGTGGACAATATCATCAGCGTAATCTTAGTTGACGAGACTGTTCCCTGGTGAGTCCCTAAAGTCGATGATAGAATATTCTACCAATACACGCATGAAGAAAGTGAACTAAAATAACGACGACAGTTGTAAAAATGAGCCTTGTATTGCATCTTTCTTGGAAATACAAAACCCTCATAGTGAAGTTTCAGTACTAAGTGAATACAATACAATCTGTAGAATTCATGGAATTCACAAAATGACGTACTCCCTTTTCAAAAACCCAGTTAGTGTTTCCTCGGTAAAGTGAGAAACGAGCATTGTGGTTGTGCAAACTCAATAGATTGTGAACTGCTGCCAGTGAAAATGACAACAATTTTCGGAATTACAAGTTATAATCTTAGCTTAATTGCAACATTCAGCAATTGTTAAATGACCACTTGAAGAGCATAACACCTACACAGGAAATGCATAAGATTTAGTAAAACATGTATACTTTTGATTTCAAAATGAAGTCTCATTGCCAAATGTATTACTGTAAAACCCTACACGGTTCACAAATTAACTCATAACACTGAAGTGGAAAAACTTCTAATTATCATTACTGAACTTAATATGGAGTCTTATGAAGCAATTCCTCGGTTATTAACTTTCCTACGCAGAAGAGAGGGCTTTTCATTCATAATCTCTTGCTTCACGTGTAATTGCAGTGCAACAGTATTTATATGAACAAGCTGAAAAATCAAGTCTTCCTCAGCTTCTAAACAACTTGTCATTATTCCAAATAAGGTAATAAGTTTCTTTCACATATAAGCCTAAGTTGTTTTGTTGTGCTGCTATATTTTGACTGAACTGGAGTACACGTATATTTTAGCACTTCTTCGCGTTTATAATTGTGTGCTAACGTTGTGATTACTCGACGTCCACAACGTAATTAAAAAGGCACTTGCGAAGGAATACGATAGTGTATTATTGCAGCAATCAAAATTCAAAAATCGAGCGAGTACAAAAGTATCAATTGTTAACATGCAAGATTTAGAGTAATAACAAATCAAAGTCCAATTACACAATGAAAGTACGGTACGATTATGAGTAATAAAATGGGTCACTACAGTTTCTATGAAATCGAAATACTGTAGCAACTAAATCCTCCCTGAAATTAAAGGCCAGCTGAAACACAAGTTCACCATTGTGCTAATGCCTTCTGTCTTAAAATGATTAGGTGACTGTTATGAGTACATGAAAACTTAAATTAATGCTGAAATTAAGCTAAGAATACCAACAACTACCAAACCAACGAAGACAATAGCGTTTCAATAAATAGGCTGAATATGCCAGTCGGATTCCATGAAAATTCAAAAATAAACTTTAAAATTTTATACTTCCTACCTTATTTAATCCACCACATTGCGCAGATATCAGTATCAAGCGACATTTCCTGATAAAAGTGGTATAAATGTAACGCATTTCAAGTACATTATACCACCGACTTTATGAGAGTCAAAAATATTTTTAGTGCGAAATTTCATCTAAAAAGCATCTAAAACAGATAACTTGTTACTAAACCAACATAGCAACGGATATCGACGCCACAATTAGCGGGGATATGCAGTAAAGCCACTCGATGTTGAAAGTAAGCATAATATTCAAAGAATAATCATCACTTACAATACTTATGGTTTTTAAATAAGACCGAGTGATTCAGATCAGTAGACTCACAGATCAAAACTATGCTTAAGTAATAATAAGGATAAAGATGTAGTACTAAACTGAGTATCAGATGATACTAAAAGTAGCTCTTTATTTTGGCCAGCTTCTTTTGTTCCTGTGCTTCCCCTTTCAGAATCCCAATACATAACGAATTATATTAGTTCCTCAAGATCCTTCTGTGCACAGCAACTTCTTTCTCCAAATTGGATAAACCCTGGTTGGTTCTAGTGGAAGGAGGAATGCAGTGTATCAAAGAAGTTCGTCAAATTCGTTTAATCTGCGTCGTTTCGCCATCAATGATTAGTTTTCTCATCCCAGGATTATACTGCATGCACTGCCTCTACTTCTATAAAGCGACTTTATCGATATTATTTCACTGCCTTCCTATATATATCGTTGTGCTATTGAAAAACTGTGAATACTCCCACAGTGCAAGAATTGAAATGTGGTGTGTGTGTCGTATGGGCATCAATTAAATTTCAGTAGTTTCTGTTCAATTAGATACAGACGAGAATCAGTCAAAACTTTGTTTTACAGAAGTCAGAGGAATATGCTATACTAAGAGACTGGAAGAATAATTTCTGAATCAAGAGATGTTGAAAAATAGCTGCTGGCCTCATAAATAGATGAAGAAGTACTGAAGTTCTGGAGATTCAAGTGCAAAGCAATTAATAATGAACTGAAAGCCTTTTTTCACAGGAATTGGAGTTAACAGTAGTTTTAATTTGCCACCAAACAGGATCTATTGTACGGTCAAAATTGTTGCTGTTTGTTGAACAACATTCCATTTTATTTAATCAGAGGTTAACGCGTACTATTCTCGCATTAATTCAAATTATATGCGCTCATTTACATGTACCTACAGTTGCAGTCATACTGAGAGAATAGAAGGAAGGTCACAATTTAGATTATCTGAACATGTGGCGAAACGCTCACATCCCAAATGAATAATGGTTTTAGGAGCGCTGTTACCAGATATCTTTTTGAGACAGGTGACGACGTGGACATATTGAAATCTTTTATTATAATCAACAGAAAAATTTATTTAATTCTTACAAAGTTAGCTGAAGCAGTTGCCATTTGACGTTTCAATCTCGGATTTTGCATGCAGAAAGAAACAGCGAAGGTCATGACCTACCCGATAGCTTGATTTCTAAACCTTTTATTTCGTTTTACGACAGAATCTTTTGCTGTCCATATGTTATACTCCACATAATTACATTGAATCTCCCTTTTTGTTTCTACCTGTATTAATCGAGCTGAACTCATTATTATGCAGCCTGCTGGTTGCTTTACACTAAATTATCTACATCACGTTCGTAATGTGGGTGCTTTTCCAGTGTATCCAGTTATATTTTAAAAACGAGTGCTTATTGTCCCCAAGTTATGCCAATGTGATTTCTGGGCATATTTTATTATTTTTGGAGCATTCTGGTAACTGAATCAACGTCAACCTCCGTACACATAATTTCTAAAAATTTAAGTTTTTATGAGGCTGACGAGAAGCCGATAATTATAAATCATGCCATCAAATTCTGCTTAAACTGTTATTCTGTCCCCAAAAGTCCATAAAGTGGAATAAATTTTAGATTTGGATATATAGAGATTTTCTGTCAAAGGTAAGTAGCGCAAAATCTTTGTGGTTATGTTCTTTGTAATACCCATGTAGAAAATCAACTAGTTATGTTGCTTGAAAAGATTCGAGACCGCTTCCAGTTAACTTCAGCCAGAAATAATGCTCACGATTGTTATGTGGCTACCAATCCTGATAGAACCGAGCTGTAGCCATATAACCTGCTGACTCTTTAGCCTGGCCCATCTAACCTGATGACCAAACTTCTCTTAACACCACCCTAAATAGCGAAGGGAGAATATAACACTTGCGGCTGAAAGACGTATTTGTTGACGAAGATTTGGAGAAAGTTCACAACTATATAGTAACACCACAACAGAGCTGCCAAGCACTTGTCCCTTGAAAATTATGTCTTTCAGTCCACGCGGATAAACAAATTACTCGCTGAGAGTGAAACGACTCGGGTTCAATTGAGGCAACGAACTTCTTTTATTCCCTACACTTTTACTACACCTGTGTCTATGGTAGTCGGAAGAAATAGCAGTTATCATGATAACACTAAGGTCTAATTCACACAGAATGTGAGGCACAGAAAAATGAGTCATAGTCAGAACAAGGTTAATCCCATGAGCAAAGTGCATGAAAATTTAAAATATTTAGCACTGACCACCCAAAATTTTCCAGCATAAAATAATGAGTTCACCCATCTGGAGTGCATTACAAACCACAGTTTCGCTACATAAACAGTCTAAAAAGGATGATATTAGTTCGTATAACCTGCTTTTTTCATTATCTTGTATTTGTGTTAATTTTCATCCCACTTCAGGTGTTTTTTTCTTATAGAACTGTGGTTGTCATTCTTGTCTGACAGTTCAAAATTACATAACCAACTTAAACAACTAATACTATATTCTGAACTCAAAAATATTCTTCTGCTACTAGTTCTACTGAAATGTTGTAATTGCAACGTCGTTTAGGTTTTAAGCAGAATTTCTTCTACCTCTCTGAAAAAACAAGTCATATTTAGAAGGATATAAAACTTTTGACCTTCTCATTTATGCATTTAGTTATTGCAGTTAAATAAAGTTGACAAAAATACTTTCATTTAAACACGTGAATTTCCCCAAGAAACTGTGGCCGTCGCGTGATAAAATACCGAGATAATAACTTGGGAGCATAACCTAGGTATTTGGAATACGTGTGTGCCAGTGTCTAGGTAAGCAATTTATGGGAAGCAGTACCCACTTAGAATATTCAGAAAACGATAACAAAAACCTAACAGGATGAAAAAAAGTACTGCTTAAACACTTCACACGACTTCGTTATTGTGTCTTGACCACTGAAATAGCTGAGAATTAAGGTACAAATATGAGGAATCCACCTGATTTAATTAGCCAGCAATCAGGCACTAAACAGCAGACTTTCACTGAGTATTATTGCTCTGAAATTTCTGTTAAGGCGTACTACCAGAGCAGAGTGAAAACCCATTTTGCATCAGTCTTCATCATTATTTTCACTGAGATGATTGAAGGTGGGCTTTGTTTTACTGCTTCAATTCACTATGAACTCAGATTCTGCGCATCAGTTGGATGTATTCGATGGATTCCTCTATTTATTGTCGATTGATATTCCTGTTATTTTGCCCAGTTGTTTCACAGGCCTATAGTTCGTTTTCTGAGGATGGATTAGTTGTACCTGTTTATGATAGCGGTGATACTGCGAGTGGTAAGTCATACAAATAAATAATCAGGTAGTGGGGGGGGGGGAACGGCGTTTATTGAATGTGAGAATTTGAAGCTACCTAAAGTCAGATTTTAGTTTATGATAAAAGTATCAGTATACATGTTGTGTATATATAGGGCGTTAGCGTTTAATGCAGTTGAACTATTTCCATTCTCCTGGTTTTGGGATGTGTAGACAGATATGACTTCAATAATCCTCATTTCTCGAAATGTCTTTATAAGTTATAATATCAATTTTGAGACAGTGAGTATCAATCATGTTACCAAATGCTGGAGCCTTTTCCCTGTCTATTATTTTTCTGGTATTTCAGAATAAAACTATTATTTGAGTTTGTTCCATTGTCGATAGACAGCTGCATGCTGTGAATTTAATTCTTAGTTAGATTCTGCCTACCTCAAGAAATAAGTTTTTGATACAGGTTCACATAGCCAACAGTGGCCTCATAATTACTGTGAATACTACAAGCGGTGACCAAATATTTCTGTTTATTTCAGTGATCCCATAAGTTTTGCCTACATTTTTCTCTTCATAGTAATAATAAATAAATAAGTAAATGCTAACCGTCCTCATACTACAGTCATAAAATCGTCACATAAATACAGTATATTTCCGAAGGATTATGGCGCATTAGAGGTACTTTAATAAATTCAGGTAGGCCCTACACCCGGAGGTGCGCCTTAAGCTTTTTGATGTTTTAATGCTCCAAATTTCTACCCAGGCTCATTACTAATAAAATGTATCAGAAGCACGAGACCGTTTTGGATGAATAGACTTTTATGTGACATAACACCTTTCCATTCGCTCACTGCTCATTCTATACTTAACGTTATTCATTTTACCAGTATTGGTTTATGCTGTTGCCTCTCGTATTATTCAGTGAAATGCACTATCTTATCACCTGATTTCCGTACCACAGGTATTGTTACCTGCACCTTATTTACGTCTAGGGTTAAGTATAGTTTTGTTTGCTGTAAAGCACTCAGAGCTTGTAGACTTTTTTTCCTAATTTCCCTTACTTCAGAGACTCAGGGATTGACTTGCTACCAGGGGATAATCTCGTTGACTTAGAATATGCAGACGATATAGTCCTCCATCCTAGGTGAAGACGCTGACAAGATGCAGAGTCTTCTGAACACCTTGAGCAGCAATCTTCGTATATATTGGGCATGCGATTCGCCCCTGTAAAATCTAAGATGATGTTACAGGATTGGAATACACCGACTCCTAGATTAGAAATAGGAAGTGAAGTGGTAGAGCACGTTGACTGCTTCACTTACTTTGGAAGTACCATCAGCCCCAACCGGTTGATCTCCGACGAAATCTCTGTACGAATACAGAGGGCTCGTTTGGTATATGCCAGTTTACGCCGTATCTGGCTTAGGTTTGATATCCGGCTGTCAACCAAAGAATGTGTGTACTGCTTAGCAGTCCGCTCCATCCTCCTTTATGTCTGTGAGCGAGACATGGTCATTGAAAGCGGAGGACATGAAAAGGCTGGCTGGCTATTTTTCATCATAGGTGCCTGCGTTCTATCTCCCGTGTGGAGTGGTATAATAGGGTGAGCAATAATAGGGTTAGGCGTCGAGTACTAGGTAAGGAGGGGGAATCAATCGATGACGCTGTGAAGTTACATCGACTGAGATGGTTAGGACATGTGTCACGTATGCCTAGTCATCGCCTTCCTCGACAATGGGCAATGTTAGCTGACATAGTGTCAGGCTGGAAAAGAGCTAGCGGCAGTCAAACCAAAACATGGCACCAGTCAATGAAATCCACAACAGTTAGTCTAAGTCACGTAGGAAGGTGTAGACTTCCTGGTTGGGGTCCTCGGGACGGTAAAAACCAATGGTTGGGAACAATTAGTGATATGGCTCAAAATCGTTCTCAGTGGCGCAGATGCATCCACTCCTTGTGACTTATGATTTTTAATGAAACTGTTTTGTTCTTCGTTATTACTATTCCTTCGTCTCACACCTCTGTTTACTGTCTGTATTATACATTTCTGCTACTTTCTTCTCTTGCTTTGTGTGCTAAATGGAGTGTGGCAACTTGAACTGCCGCACATATGTGCAAAGTTCTCTGTCGAAAACAGACAGACAGTATTGATTTGCTAGGATGAAAAACAATAATATTTAAGTTAATCAAGCATGTATATATATGTACCATTTTTTAATGTTATGGTTAGTATCAGGCTTATTTTTCATAACTTCACCACAACCGGACTAAATTTATATATTTATTAAGATTTTGTTTGTTATGGTCACGCTTTGCTAAGAGAGCTTCGTGGATGTATCAGTTTCTTGAATGTAAGATCCTCTTGTTGTATAAGAAACTGAATACTCTGCACTATCTTGAGTGATATATCCTACATCTTTACGACATTTTCATGAAGATCATCTGGGTACGGTTTGTTTCTGGATACCCTACAAATTGCTTAACTCTTTGTTTCTAATAATCCCGTTGATTCTGAACTTGTTGATAGCATCAGATTTGACCCAGTATTAAAGTTTTGATGATACCTATTACTATGTTGTGCTTGTGACATGTACTCATTTGGTCTTTTCAATAAATTGTTAGACTTTCACATGTGACTTAAACTTGTATACACAATACAGACGTATAGGCAGTGACTTTCCAAACTCCTTGGTTAACTCAAACTTAAGTGGTCTTACTAAAACACCGATAATATATTGTTAGTGATCTCATTCCACTTTCACAAATCGTATATTGTTCGGAAAATCGAAGGGACTACGGCTTCTTTGTCATGCTGCGTTAAAGAGTCTTTACGTGCTTTTGCTTTCTTTTACCTGGCAAGACATCACTAACATCGATTTCTAATTTCGGTCTTATATTTTGATAAATGCGAATACCAATTAAAACATTCTTACTTCTGTTTGCAGTGTATCGGCCAAAGTGCTTTTCATTAGCTGCATCGTTTAATAGATGTCTTGAAAGTTAAATAAAAAATACCAATAGAAGTATCAGCATCACAGAAATAAGATTTAGGATTTCTAAAATGATTATTTTTGTCCTCTGCGACTTGGTCAATATATACTGAATATTTTTTCTTAACGCCATTTTATCTAGTGTCAGTGGTATCACACCTGCTCAAGTCAATAAGCCTCATCGGCATAAGGAAACTTCCCCATTAACCGCTATATTACAATGTTATTCCTCCATACACTGTACTATACTTACAGATTCATGATTAAATACCTTATTCACATAAGTTTGTTTTATTCACTTCCGAATAACTTACTGTTAATTTCTTTCGAATGTAATCAAAAGTGGAATGAAATTGAAACGAGATATGTTGGAGGATTTCATCATGAGCTGAAATCAGTTAGAGAACCATTGGAAAACCAACTGGGAGTACTGGACAGCTGTTTCGTCAGCCTAGTTTAGGACTCTTCATCAGTACACACCCACCGCTAGGGTTCGAACCCAGGATCTTCTGGTTACAAGGCGAGTTAGCTCATAGACCATTAAGCCACTGGGACCCGATCAAATGGCCAGTCAGCGCATGAATTCTAACTTCTGCCAATTCATGACATAGTGCGACCACCTCGTAATGTCTTCTTCGATGAGTTACTGCCTCACCTTCAGCTTGCTGTATTCTACTGGTCACGGCTTCCCACTTGAAACCAGTTTCACTGCCTGAATAGGGCCAGTCGCTAGTGAGCATCAAATGAATTTTCAAGTATTGGTTTTTGTAGGGATTTAGTTAGATTGGTTACTGATGGAGAGTCACAAACTAGGACGAAACAGCTGTCCAGTACTCGCAGTTGGTTTTCCAATGGTTCTCTAACTGATGTCGGCTGATTATGAAATCCTTCAACCAATCAAACTAAATCCCCAACAAAAACCAATACTTAAAACGAGATGTGCTCAGAGTTACTTTAAGAAATATTTCTCATGAGTTTAAGTAAATATAGGATAGCTAATCACTAGTGTTTCCATGAGTTATTTCCAAACATTTTGATTTGCCGAATTTACTGAGATAAATTTAGTGGTCCAGTAGGGTAAAAATGGGCTACATTTACTCAGTAATTTTATACTGAGTGATCTTATTTGTGTTTATATACTTAAAAATAGCCACACGTTCTTTGTTGTAACCATTATTGTTCCTTTGAGAGCACCGTACTTCAGCAACACATCTCCATCTCACTTGGTTTTCTGCAGTAGTTTTATCTGGCTTTACGATTGTCCATAAGCTTTCGTCTCCTCCTCACAGTATTTCCTCCATGTCATCTTCAGAATTCCTCTCTCTAATGTCTGGTACGTGATGCTACGCAATGGTCTCAGCGTGTTTTATAGGCCTGAGTCGTACCACGAACTATGGATTTCCTACTTTGGATTCAAAAGGCTACCGAAATCAATAATAGGCCATATGAAGTGACGTAAAGGCTGCTTTCTTGTATTTCGATGAATCTTGATTGTGGAAGTGCCTCATTTTCCTTATTCCACAAGGTAACTTACCTTCTTCATTTCCTTCTTTTCTTCGGAAATTCGCCTCACTGCCCTCTCCCATTTTTCGACTTATCTTCAATGTGTTCATGTGACACATGGTAACTTAAACTGATGGGTTATTCTTTACATTATGCGACTGTAAGACCACATACCAGTTTATATATTACACTGTGAATGACAATCTATGCGTGACCATTTTTCTACTCAAATTACTGTGACTTCATCAACATTCGAACTAATGGCTCACAGAAACTTTATTAACTTTTTTTAATATATATTTTCTCTTCATTGTATTGCTTAACTATACTGGAGCTGCGGAAATTTACAAACACTATCTGTGTATTAGAAGTGTCCCAACCACTCTACTCTCAAGCGAGTTGAAGAAAGGAAGTGTGATTGATTGGTCATGACTACAGTTTGTGCGATGGTTTGTAGACATTCCACCAATATATTTGCATTAATAGCAGAACCTTCAACTCTTCTAAAGCTGGGTTTTCCAGTTTTTAAAAATAAATATGGATAGTTGAGCTTTATCTTAAGTTCCTACTCATTTAGAATAGTTCAAAGTCTTCAAGCCATTGGATAACAGCTATTTGTTAATGTCGCTTAGGTCACTTAACATTCTTTCGGTATTCTGGAGGTATAAAATAAATATAAAAAGTTATCGGGCACTTCTAATGTATTTGTACACCAGCGATGTCGCTCCAATCTCTTTGAGTATCATATTCTCGAATAAAAAGACACAAAATATTTAATTTGGTTTGTGCGGCAGCCAAATTGCAGTTTAATGCAACAAAAAATGAAAATACGGCAGTTCACGTAACATTCTCAAGCTCCCCGAAGTAGTACCTATCGTAGTATGTTGAGGAGGCATATACTTCGTTAAATATCATACAAAACAATAGCTATTATCCTTTAATGGAAACTTTACAGTCTAATTTACACAGACTATTCGCTTGAATTCTCACGGAGACTCTAGTTTCATTTTTGTTAGAAATCCCATCTAAAAGTTGAACTTGTAGGTGTAAACAGTAAAATGCATGTGTATATTGCTAAGGGTAAAGTCGACTTAGTATCTTCCGATAAGTTTCAGAAGAGCAGTATATACAGTCTCTGCAATATATGACCCTATTCTATTAGATTACTTCTGTATAGTTAAAGTATTCCACAGGTGCTCTATGTAACTAAATTTGCGATATCTATGCACAAGTCTTCTTTTCCAGTATGACAATTTCCTCGTCGTAGAGGCAAGTCAATAATCCTATCCGTAGGATCGAACTTTCCAAACTGACTACCTACTTTAGGGATAGTATTAAATGTCACAGCAGTTCAAATATAATTCTACTGGTCATTTTTATTTCATCACAACGTTATGAAAACGATGAATTTTAAGTGAGTTGTTATACACACACTCACACTACTTATCATTTACTTGTTTCTTTGTTTATTCAGCTAACTGTGAGGATACTTTACGAGCGATTCAACAGCAAGAATCACAGAATGGAAGGTTACAAGAGATATCAAAGGAACCATCAGAAGATACTCCACACTTATTCAATAAAACAGCCTCAATTCCTGAACACTATCAGCCTATTGAAGATGGAAGAATTGTATCTGCATATGTACCTAAATGTCGTCCAGATAGACCAGATTTATATATTGCTAGACAGTGCAATGAATATGATTGTTTTTGTGTCAATGTTACTACGGGAGAAACACTTTTAGGTACACGTGCCAGTCCAGCTGAAGTTGGTGATTGCTCAACAGGTGTGTTTTTGGGTATGAAATGTGGTACTTTTTTTTAAAGGCAAAAGTTCATTGAAGTTTGGCATGAGTATTCTGTCATAAATCTAAAGTCGAAATTTACATTATCGGGTTTTATTGTAGTAAATCTTATTTTACTGCATGAGCTTTGAAAATAGTGGACTGTGGAACTGAGAGTTTTGAATGAAATCATGAAATAATTGAAATGGACATAGAGAGAACTGTTGGCAGCGAAGCAGTTACAGAAGTTGTCACTAGTTTGAAACAAGGCGAAGCAGCGGGACCTGATGGAATTACTTCAGAGGTGTTTAACGACGATGGAGATAGCTTACTGTCTCTGTTAACTAGGGTATTAGGCAGAGACGGGGAATCAGAGTTAGTCCTGTCGGGCTGGTGTAAGTCAATGATTATCCCGATATACAAGAAGGGAGATAAGTCTTCCTGTGATAATCACAAGGACATTAGCTTAACTAATATGGTATCTAAAGTCCTAGGCTCAATAATAATACATAGACTAAGTGGTGCTTGGGAGGAACAAACACGAGAGAACCAGACAGGCTTTAGACCAGAAAGAGGTTGTATTGATCATATCTTCACCCTTCGACAGATTCTGGATCATAGGCATACATACCGGTGTCCAACAATCGTCATATTTCTTGACCTAAAGGTGGCATTCGATTCTGTCGACCGAGAGGTACTATGGCGATGTTTGGCTGTGAAAGGAATGCCGAGAAAATACATTGCACTGATCAAGGCACTCTACTCGAACTCATGCAGCCAGGTGAGAGCCTACGGGGAGTTTTCATCTGAAGTGGAGACGACTAGTGGTGTCCATCAGAGATGCCCTACCCACTATCCCCACTTCTATTCAGTTCCATCATAGATGTACTAATGGACTTAACCCTAATTCACTTCAGAGACTCGGGGATTGACTTGTTACAAGGGAATAATCTCGTTGACTGATAATATGCAGATGATATAGTCCCTTCTCCTAGGTGAAGACGCCGACAAAATGCAGAGTCTTCTGAACACCTTGAGCTGCAATCTACGAATGTTTGGTATGCGATTCGCTCCCGCCAAATGTAAGATGATGTTACTGGACTGGACTACATTGACTCCTAGCTTAGAAATAGGAAGTGAAGTGGTAGAGCGTGTTGCATTAGCCAACGCCAGTGGTTTAATCGCTGACGAAACCTCTGCACGGATACAGAGGGCTCGTTTCGCACATGCCAATTTACGCCGTCTCTGGCTTAGTAGACGTGATATTCGGCTATCTACCGAAGGGCGTGTGTACTGCTCAGCAGTCCACTCTGTCCTCCTTTATGGCTGTGAGACCTGGTCATTGAAAGTGGAAGATGTGAAAAGCCTGACTAGCTGTCTTTGATCATAGGTGTCTGCGTTCTATTTCCCGTGTTAGGTGGTATAAAAGGATGAGCAATATTGAGGTTAGGTGTCGGTCAAGTGCTAGGTAAGGAGGGAAAATCCATCGATGAGGATGTGAATTTACACCAGTTGAGATGGTTAGGACATGTGTTGCACATTCCTAGCAATCGCCTTCCTCGACTGACAGACGATGTTAGCTGACATAGAATCAGGTTGGAAAATGGCTAGTGATGGTCAAACCAAAACATGGCTTCATCAGTCAATGAAATCCACAACATCTAGTTTAAGCCAGTCACAGGGAGGTGTAAACTTCCTGGATGCGGTCTTCGGAATGGTAAAAACCAATGAATAGAGGCAATAAGTGATATGGTTCAAAATCGTTCTCAATGGCTGGTGCGGATGCATTCACTCCTTGTGATTTCTCATATCCAATAAAATTCTACTGTTCTTTCATATTACTATTCTTTTTGCCTCTTATTTCTGTTTAGTATCTGCCTCTCTTTTGAATCTCTCTACTCTCTTCTCTTGCTTTGTTTGCTACATGGAGAGTGGCAACTTGAACTGCTACGCATCTGTGCAAAGTTCTACGTTGAAAGCAGTCAGTCAGTTATATTTCATTCAGCCTACTGTATTGGATGTTCGTCACGTAGACATTTGTAATATAGACATCCTCAGTATAAAAGCAGAACTTTGTCATTCTGAAGAAGTATAATCAGATGACTTTGATATGACTGTGAGGAATAAATGAGGCTGAAAATCTCGTCCAATTAATATTAATGTGTCGTTACTTGCTATATAGCAAATGAACCGTTTCATTCTCACTTCCTAATTCAGTTCATCTCAGTTAGAGAAGCTTTTGTAATTCTCTAGATTATAATACTGAGCGACTTTTGTTTGAATCCTGTTTATTATGAAAGTCCTCAAGCATGGCTTAACATAGATAAACTATTTACCAACTTAAATACACAGGTTGCAGAACAATCATATCATTCTATTCTCATTGCAACTGATGACAGATAGAAATATGAGAGTATATTTGGAAAGAACGAAATGTTAATCATCACAAATAAAGTTGAATAACTCAGAACCCTACTGACTATGAATAACAGTGAATATCTGCCAACTAAGCCTGTCATCATGTGAAACTAACCAGATTTATTTGAGGTGACTAATTGCATATCAGATATAATTTGAGGGTAATAGGAATTAGTAAAATTACCGTTCAGGTAGGTTACATCTTCAGCCTTATTCTGCTGTATAACACGAACCATAGATAGGTGTGCATTAATTAATTAACATACGATATTTCTTAAAATTTCCTTTCCGTTGTTTTGCATTGGTAGTAGAGTTATTACCGGCATTGTTGTATCGTGTTTCTGTCAAACATGGTTAGCATTTCTTCATTAAACTAAGATATTCTTTCATCAATCTTGAGCCTACACCTTTCTAACTTAATGTTTCCAGTGGTTAAGCAATTGTATGTCTAGTTATGACTGAATCACATTCACTTTGATTGTTTATTCTATTCGAGTGTGGCGTTTTTGTTTATTTAGGTTTTTGCAGTCTGTTAAATTAGTTAATCTTGGTTGAGTGACTGCATGATATTTAGTAGTAAAAATTGCATAAAAGTCATTTTCATTTGGTTACAGGATTTCATCATGAGCTGGCACTAGTTAGAGAGCCATTGGAAAACCAACTGGGAGTACTGGACAGCTGTTTCGTCAGCCTAGTTTGGGGCTCTTCAGCAGTACACACCCACCGGGATTCGAACCCGATTCTAACTAATGTCAGCTCATGATGAAATCCTGTAACCAAACAACCAAATCCCTACAAACCAACACTTGAATATCAATGAAGTGCTCACTAGCGACTTGCCCTATTCAGGTAGGTAGCTACCTGAGGTTCTAGTGAGAAGTTTTGACCAGTAGGGTGCAGCAGGTCGGGTGTGAGGACAAATACTCGCCGAAGACATTGGCTAACGGTCGCGCTATGTCGCGAATCGGCAGAAGTTAGAGTTCTTGCGTTGGCCATTGGATCGGGTCCCAGTGGCTTAATGGTATACGAGCTCGCCTTGTAACCAGAAGGTCCTGGGTTCGAATCCCGGTGGGTGCGTACTGACGAAGAGTCCCAACCTGGGATGAAACAGCTGTCCAGTACTCCCAGCTGGTTTTCCAATGGTTCTCTAACTAATGTCAGCTCATGATGAAAATCCTGTAACCAATCAAACCCCTACAGACCAACACTTGAATATCATTTTCATTTCTTTGAACCGTTCCTATCAACTTCAAGCAGAGTTTTATAATATTCTATTTGATAAAGAGGGTCAGTCAATCAATGATTTTGCCAAGGTGGATCGGTTTAAATGGCTAGAAAGAGTTTTGCGCATGCCATCACCTTCCTCCACTTGGAAACGACAGCTGACATGGGATCAAGTTAAAAAAGAGTTAGTGATGGTCAAACTAAAACCCGTCATTAGTCCATGAAATCTTTGACAATTACTTTGAGCCAGCCACGTAGGGAGGTGTAGACTGCCTAGTTTTGAAGTCCTTGGAATGCTAATGCTGGCGACCGCTGGAGATATGGCTGAAAATCGTTCTCAGTGGCTGGCGCAGACGCGTTCATTCTCTGTGATCTCCCAGGTACATTAAATCCTAATGTTATTATTCTTTACCCAATACATTTCTGATTATTATAATACTTCTGAATCTCTTTTTTCTCTCTTTTGTGTACACCTTCGTGTGTTACATGGAATGTGGCAACTTCAACTAGTGCACTCCTGTGCTAAGTTCTATGCCAAAACTCAGTCAGTTTACAATATTTTCATGAAAAGTACTATTAAGTTATTAAATGTTCTACTGATTAGATATATTTTTTAACTGAAACTTTGAGTTGTCACCGTCAAATCTGTTGAACTATACTGACTGTCGTAGACTAACACTTCTTTTGTCTTTCAGCTGTGTATTCAGTCTTACTGGCTTTACGCCTTAGAAGTATTCTACCTTCGTCAGATAGTGGTGAATCGCGTGGTGATGCCATTGGTATGTCACAGGATCGTGATGCATCTTTAAAATTACACATACGCAACAGCTTAGAAGGAATCCTGCATTCAGCTGTTGGATTTCAACGTGTCACTAATATCACTCGTATATCTACCAAACCAAATACTCAGGATTTACACGGAAGTTCTGATTATGTGTACTATCAAGTTGAATTGACGTCAACTGGTCACAGTTCATTGCAATCACCCCAAGATCTTGTAGAGAATCGTCTTCATGAAGGATTTTTGTCAGAGGTTGGAGCTGTTGATCCGAGTATAAGTTATGTGAAACTTATACAATCTAAGATTCCAGGTAAATGTTCTTTTATCTAACGTCATTTCAGAGTGAAATCTATTTTTGTTTGTTTAAGTTTTTTACAGTGGTAGAAAAGGCGCTTTTTTGAATTTGTAATAACTAGACTTATTTTGATATGGTTGTGTTCTCTGAGCTGGATGGTTAATTTCTGAAGCTTTCATCGCGCTACTAGGCGACATCTTCAGCGCATACTTCAAATTGAAGTAGTAGCGCGATGAAAGCTTCGGAAATTAACCATCCAGCTCAGAGAACAAAACCATATCAAAATCATCCACCTGAGCTACAAATCTTCTCTATCATAACGAGACTTATAGCCGCGTGGGTGATAGACTTCCAGCACGAAAGTGTCACTTTTGCTGTTCATGGCATTCTTTGTTTTATTTTATGGGGGCGCCTTTTATGAAATATTCAGCATTTTACTATTGGTTTATCCACGTATCATTTCACTAACCGACATCACTCTGAAAAATGAATGTCCTCCTCATCTGGTGAGGATTTGATTTTTAGACTGTTGAAGCCTAACAGAAGACCTTAACGCTTGTCCTCCCAGACTTGTTATTTTCCACTGAAATGTTTCTTTTTAAACTGTATGCAACAATCCATTTTTTTCATTCCTTCACGTTCCCAGTGGAACATAGGGCTTCAAGCTAAAGGCTTGAAGTTTCTGTAGCAGTGTTTATTTTTACAGGATGGTGTTGTTAGCCTCATGCCCAACCTTTCCTCTTTATCGGCTTTATTACTGGCTTAGCGAGGTAAAGGAGTGCGTCTGTCGGGGATCGAACCCCAGACCACATGCATGGTCGTCGGGCGTCCTGACCGCTGCGCCACTGACGCTCCTCTCCTTCTACCTTGGGTATAATTCCAAGTTCAGCTATTATCAACGTTTTGTTATTACTACTATTTTTCGTACAACATTTATTAACATCATTTTCTTAAATAAGCCTTTGTTCACTCTCTTCACCTACTACATAATTCTCCATGCTTTTTTATTAACATCGAAATTTTTCTTAAGCTCATTTCATATTATGCAACCCCCAGTCTTCACCCCCTAGTTACCGCTTGATTATTATTCATCACTGTCTTGAAATATCTTGCGGATGTGAACAATACTCCAAACCAATTTTTATTTTTGTGCTGTGTTTGACAGGCTGAATGAGCATGCACACACATACACAAACATGGAAAAACAATTATGTGTTATTGTGATTGTATAGCTAAGTGAATGAATTCGCCAAAGAGAGAGTCTTTCCTTCGCTAAACTGTTTGTTCTTATTTCCATAATCCACAATCCATTTACTCTGACATAACAATGATAGAATAAAAGATGGTGATGTTTAGAATCTCGAAAATGATAAGGATTAAAGCCACTAGCACCATATTACCGAAAATCTGCAATCACTGATTCTTAGCATCGAAAACAACCTCAGCATGGGTAGTTTAAACCTACTTACATGGCTTAGAACTTCATAAATTAGTATCAAGTTATAGTCTGATCGGTGGTAATTCCTTCGCAATCTAATTCTACTGAAAACAGCACTAATAACTGTTTTCTATAGTTTGGTTTGTAAGGGTTAGTTATGTTTTTACCAGTTGATCACGGATTGATATCAGTAAGAGAACCATTGAAAACCAGAACTGGAGTACTGGACAGTTGTTTCATCCTAGTTTTGGAATCATCGGCAGTACGCACCCATCGCCAGGGTTCGAACCCAGGACCTTCCGGTTACAAGGCAAGCTAGCTCGTATACCATTCATCCACTGGGACCCAATTCACTGGATCATGAATTCTAACTTCTACCAATTCGTGATTTAGCGCGCCATTGAATCGGCTCCCATTGGTTGAATGGTATACGAGCTTGTCTTGTAACCGGAAGGTCCTGGGTTCGAACTCCAGTGCAGTGGGTGCGTACTGTCGATGATTCCCACAATATCTAGGGATGAAACAGCTGTCCAGTACTCCAGTTCTGGTTTTCAATGGTTCTCTAACTGATATCAATCCGTGATCAACTGATAAATGTGTGAAACTTAGACACTGTGGTAGTTTATCATTCCTAATTAATTTGTTTGATGTGCATCGGTGGTTCAGCGGTGGAATGCTCACTAATCACACAGATGGTTCGAGGTTCGATTCTTGGCCGGCATACTCCTAAACGTCACTAAGCCGGTAGTAAGCCAGTTAAACAGGGAAGGTTAGGCGTGGGGCTAGTAACCCCACCGCGTAAAAATGCAACCACTGGTCCTGAAAATTCAGAGCTCACAGCCTAAAGCCCTATGTTCCACTCGAATCACAAAGGAATAAAATAAAGAAAAAACAATAAATGTATCACATTGTGGAACAGTATTATGTACCTGACGACTTTCCTAATAAAATTTATTGTTCAAAGTCACACCAACCGGTATTGCTTTTTGAGAAAGGCAGTGACTCAGTTTTTCATTCACGTATTTCTCAGTGAATGAAAATTGATTCCCTCGTCTATTGATTTGGCTTCTGCACCTGTTACTCTATATTTTATCTCATTATTACTTAATAATGTTGCTTCAGCTTATGCGGGCGAATGAAAGAAGACACTTGTGCTCGAAAATCTGTAATACCTACTTCCAGTGGTTATGTCTACTAGAGCTAAATTGGGACAGGGTGAACTTCTGCGTGAAATATATGCCATTTGATGTGTAAGCAGCTGTCCCACTGATGGTTTTTAACCATAGATCGTAAATTTTCCCACCGAATTCCAACGAGTCTTCGATGTGTTTTTTTCTTGCCTCAAAAGACAATATTATAACTGGTTTACCAGTGTATGTCTGATAATTACATTTAGGGAGGCTTTAAGTTTCGAGTAATATTTTTTCGCTGATAGTAAAGCGTACACTGAGATAATAAAGACATTCACTTTAGTTGCAATTGCGTTTTGATACCTTATGTACTGTATGTATGTTATTCAACAGTCGCTTGAGATTCCACGCATTTGGCAATCATCCACATCTTTTGCGTGATGATATTCGTGATATTATAATGGGAGATGATGAGGGAATTGGTAACCGAATGTTTATTTGCAATCTGATATGTACAAATATAGAGAAATTATGTATACCTTATTATTAAAATCATCATTTGCACAGATCATTCGTGTTGTGGCAATTCTGCGCTTCGTATTGTGTTTCTTTGTCTTCTTACCGTGTCTCCCATGTTTCACCACAATACTGGTTCACTTCCTCTCTTTAACGTCAAATCTATCTCTCCGCTATTTGATATTTTTAGTGCCAAAGAACATCTCTTTATATACTACTAGTGATAAATCTTATCAGTAGCATGTACTGCAATACTACTTGGGTGCCGAAAACTCGGCAGGATGAAAGGGGTTTGAACTCGTGACTTAACCAATAAGCTCCTTATGATGTGAATAATTTTAGACGTCAAGAAAGTTTTCTGGAAAGCATAATTTTATTTAAAAGGGTACAATGAAGGGATTAAGTGTCAACGTTTTCAGATTATTATTATTTCCTTTAATTCCTAGAGGAACATAGGGCTTCAGCTGTGCGTCTCCATTGCGTTCGGTTCTCTGCTAGAGTTTTCACCTGGCTCCAAGTCTGCCCACACGTTTTCATCTCCTCTTCACATGACCTCCTCCAAGTCACCCTTGCACTGACGACCAACTCGCCGCTTCCCTTTCGGGTTCCACTCGAGCAATGGCTTGTCTAGTGATGTCACTTGATGGATTGTTTCCTCAGAGTATGGCCAATCCATCTCCATTTCTTCCTACCTATTTGTTTCACAATCGGTTCCTGCTGAGTTGGTTCGCTCCCAGAGATCTCTGTTGCTGATCTTTTCTGGCCGGCCATCTGATCTTGAGTACTGAGCGAAGACAACTGTTAATGAAGGTCTGTAGTTTGTTTGAGATACTCTTTATGACGCGCAGTGCAAGTCTCTGATCCGTATAGTAGCACTGACTGACTTCACATTGGAGTTGAAAATCCGGATCTTATTTTTGATGCTGAGTGCTGTTGACCTCCACACAGACTTGAGAGTAGTGAAAGCTTGTCTTGCTTTGATATCCTCGTCAGTTCCGCCTGTAGTTGAAACGATGCTTCCCAGGTAGGTAGGTAAAAGAGGTTGTTTCTTTCAGATTCCTCCTATTTATGGTGATTGTTGTCTGTTGTTGTTGTTGCTGTTGGTGGTGTTGGCCAGGAATCTTCATCACCTAACTCTGTTTTCTCTATGTTCACCTGAAGTCCTATCTTTGATGCTGCTTCTGCCAACTTGTTGCTTTTCGCTTGCATATCTTCCAGTTTGTGAGAAATCAGACATATATCTCAGATTACTAGGTGATAAGAAATGAATTACTGTTGGATATCTGCTAAATTATGAGAGACTTGGGAACATCTTTATGCATGTCTTGTTTGTGTGCATTTTCTTACCATCTCACCAATAGAAACTTTCTGTCTCCAGTTGGATAAACACCATTGTAGGTTTTTTATTTTCCGAAGTCATCAGTTGTAAAAGTATTGTTGAGTAGGTGAAGTACAGAATTTCTTTCTTAGAGCTAATCTTTATTCTTCGCTTTGGATGGCAGCTTACTAGAGTATTCTTTATGACACGTACTCTTAACACACAGTTTTAAACTATTGAATAGCTAAACCACTAAATTACAGCCTCCTAACATCCTTAAGAGCGCTTTTTACAAGTCCGCTTGCCTTTGGTGTTAGATTTTATCGAGTGATTAAGGGTTACCTTGATTTCAAAAATATCATTTTATTCTGAAGGTATTTTGCCTTATGATGACTAGCAGTAGAGTCCAGGATGCGCATTTCGTCCCATTTGGGACTCATCGGATGAATGTATTTTCGACAGCTAGTGAGCGATGGTGTTACCGTAACGGCAGAAGACAAGAGAATTGATAACTGACTTTTTTGTCAAGGAAAAACGCATAATAATTATACATTTTCAACCATATTAAAACTCGGCTAGGTCATAGGGGAATAAACTGTTCTGATTGGTTGGC